TTTGGGATACATTTCAAGTTTTTTTTTTTTTTTTTTGGCACACAATATTTTGTCAAGTTAAAGGTTAAATTAGACAAACTGGGCTGTTTTCCAAACAAACAGCACTTTGTATCTTTAAGCCCTGTTATAGAGATTATCACTGCCCAGATTTTGATTTTAAAAATCGTTTATTGTACTTTAGCATTAGGCCTCTGGGTCATCTCGCTCTGCCAAGTTTCAAGAGGGAGTCTCGCGCTTCAGCTAGGCCCGGTGAGGTTAGTTTAGCTTTTCATATTATTAGATTTTCCAGATGTTGGGAGGCCTCCCAGCAGGGGAATTTATCCCACTCCTGCAAAGCATTCAGTCATTGATGCGGGGATACTTCAGGAAGTTTCATATTTACACTGTCGTCGGACCTGGTTTACGCGGAAGTTTCATATTTACACTGTCGTCGGACCTGGTTTACGCGGTACCAGCCGGGGGGTGCATTTGGGTTCTTGGGAGGGAGCCTGGCAGAGACGGATGACTTAGATGAATCTAAAAAAGGCTTGTGTACACCCGGTTTGGGTGTATTTGCCTTATTGTCTGTGATGAGAACAGCAGCAGTGATACTATGAAGCCTGGTTGTCAAGTACACAGGTTGACACTATGTTGAATGTGTTATTACTGAGTTTTACTCTTAACTTTCTTATAGCAAGATTATACTGTGGGCTGAATTGTGTCAAGGCTAACAGGCTTTGTATGGAAGGAAATGAGTTCTGCAGGGACAGTACCTCAGTTATTAAAGTGAAAATTGGCCCTTTGCAGTACGTCATGTCTTGAGGTATTAGTGTGGCAGCGTGAATTAGCCTGTAATCTTTTCTAGATCCACACATTCCTACACAATGTACAGAGTGTTTTCTGAGATGACGCATACTTTAGAAGAGAGAGTAGAGAACCAACATGTGAGATGGTTGTAGTGTCAAATCAGTGATGGTTACACTGCTTTTTAAAAACATTACAGGTTGTGTGTTTATCTTATTAAATCAGTGCAGAGTGATGGTCAGTTCTAGGGTTAAGGAAGCCAGGGCTTCTCCACACTACTGAGAACAAGGCCAACTGAGTCGACTCGCATCATAAGAGGTTTTTCTCCTTCCCCTTCTTCTCAGTGTGTGAAGGAGTCTGAGCTTTCAGGTTACTGGTAGTTTGGGACAGTTGTTGAGTCCCTCTTTTGAAGCTGTGTGCCATGGTTGTGCAGTTTCCAAAACCAGACAGGGATCCCTCTGGTTTTGTGAATCAGCTGACATGGTATGCTGTTATGATCCTACTAAGAGATGCGCTGTACAATTGACATGTTTAAGGGGTAGATTTGGTGAGACAGAGCCAGCTGTGACTATTGCAGTCCGATCTGAGGATGCACAGAGTAGACCAGACCAGACTGGATAAAGGCGTTAAAAAAAAAAAACTTGGTTAATGCATTGTGCTCTTAGTCTGGGAATAGTGGAGGGACAACAAGCAGCAGACCTCACTTATGCTCATGTGTACTTGAGCTTTACAATTTTAGACTAACAAACCTACATTTCTTGTACTCAGTGAAAACACCTAGTTTCAGGACCATGCTTGTGGTGACTAGATCTTCCCCTCCTCCTCTTTCTAAATTGACTACACTGTTCCACACCCTAGTCGAGTATCTGAAAGCACCAGTCAGGGAGAAAGAAGCCACTGTGAGGGAAAGTGGGCGGGTAGACGGGCTATACTCTATGATGTTAGAGAAAAGTACATTGTACTTCCTGGTTGAAAAGTTGCAGTTTACCAAGCTGTTTCCTGTCCTGCCAGAGACTCTGAAATGGGACGCTGGGACCCAGAAGTTGTCGTGTTCAGCTGTGAAGAAGACAGACCCTCCTGTACCAGACCGTCATCGACAATGATTCCTCTGCACCACGAGTTGTTAATCTCTTCAGAAAAATCAGGTATCCACCTCGGTCCACTTCATTTAATGTTTGTCTGTGTAGTTAAGATTGAGTGACTTTTTTTTTCGACTCTGATGCCCAACCTTAGGAAACTGAAGCTGGGGAAAACAACCTGCTGCCGCAGACGGGACCATGAGGAGGCTGCTAAAGAGACGTCCACCCCAACCTCTTTGGTCGTGAGAGCTGAGACCAACTTGATGAGATCTTGAAGGAACTGTTTCAGCTGAAGCTCAGTCAGCTTTACCTGAGTCCACCTCCACCTTGGATGAGATGACTTCAGCTACTGAACTCTAACCTTTCCTCTGGAGTAGTGTGTTCCTTGACACAATTGGAAGACTTTGTTTGAATTTTGGAACATTTTTCCATCATTAAATGGTGGAATTACCGAGGCAGGCTTAGGAGTTAGATTAATGAGTGATTCTCCATATGCATGAAGTTGTGCTATGATAAGTTGTAAGCCTGTCTTGAAATGCAGTGCTGTTTTCAAAACCATCACCGCCCAGATTTTAATAACTTTATTTTACTGTAACTGAAATAAATGGGTTGTGAAAACTACAGATATGAAGCTAAAGCATGTTTCTGCAGACTGTTTGTTATTGGTGGAAGATGGGCAGGGTTAGATTCTGAGTCAAAAGTAGTTCAAGATTCTTCTCTTCAGCACCAAGGACAGCGCACGTTGTTTCACTTTAAGTTCCTTATTTCTTTTGCTGATAGAAAGTGACCAAACAAAAATCCAGCATGTTAGTTTTGCTTTCATGAGAACAAACATAACATTCAGTATCCTGTGCTAACTTACATGTAACATCTGGTGAAGTCGTAGCAGTAATACATAAAGTTGGATTTACTGCACTAAACATTTTTAAATGTAAGCGGCTGTGGGCTCATTCCACTTCTTTGGCCATGTGTAACATTACTGACCTCTATAGAAAGTCTCCAAGCTACCTTCAAAAATCTGGTAGTGTTTGTTAGAAACAAGCATGAATCATGAAACTAATCATTTCTTGTTAACATCTGGTATATTTTCCTTAAGTATAAATATGTGGTTATTAAATATATTCTTTAACATTAGGTTCCTGCTTCTTTGTCATTGGTTTAAGATTGTTTTACTGCCACAATGTATACTTGTATTTCCATAAATTATACATTTATTATTGAGGTCATAGTTAAAGGTGGTGGTGTACTATTCAGAGGTGTTTCTAATATTCTGATTTTCCATGATAAGAATGACAGGAGTGATGACAATGAAAACTACCCACTCACCCCAGCCGGTCGAGACAGAAGGCCGCCCACCTTGAGTCGGGGTCTGTCGGAGGTTTCTTCCTATGCAGGTTTCTTCCTGTAAAGCTAAAGGGAGTTTTTCCTCTCCACTGTCGCCAAGTGCTTGCTCAAGGGGGATTTGTTGGGGTTTTTTTTTCTTTCTTTTTCTGTAGTGATGGTAAGATCTAGACTTTACTATGTAGTGTACTGAGATCACTTGTGATATGGTGCTATACAAATGAATTGACTTGTACGGTGAAGTGTACAGGTTGACACCATGTAGAATTACTTTTCCAGCCACAGCTGTTGCCTTTGCAGAGGCATAGAAATGTAAACTACTGTCAAAGAAGCATCAGACTGAAATAAATGTATACTGAAAACTACATGAAACGGAAGCTTGTTTCTGCAGATGTTTATTGATGGATGGGGTCAATGCCGAGGTCAGTGTTTCAGATTCTGAAGTCAAGTTGTTCAGGGTTCTTCTCTTCAGCACCAATTACAGCGCACGCTGTTTGACTTTATAAGCTTGTGTCTTTTAAGTGACCAAAGTCCCTTCAAAAATCCAGCTGGTTAATTTTGCTTTTATATAAACAATGTTCAATATACTGTATAACTCAGGCTGCACTAACTTAAACATAACCTTGACCTCTATACAAAGTTCCCAAGCTCCTTCAAAAAAATCTGGTAGTGCATGTCTGTTAGAAACAAACTCCTGGCTTTAAGTAGAAACATCAGGTTCTTGCTGCTTTGTCTAAGATTGATTTTCAGCCACAATGTATGCTTGTATTTCCATATAGCCATCATAGACTGATAGAGTATGTTCATTTTACCTATGTTTTTAAAAAACCATGGAGCTACCAATGTGCAGAGCTTCTGATGGTATCCCCAGGATTCATCAGTTTTAACACCACTCTTTGAGCTTTAAAGTAACCATTAAATTCAAAGTTTTTTCAGTTTCCAGGCATTACAAGTTACAGTTCTTAACCACGGCAACATTGCATTCTCAGGAGATTTGTTCAGCTGTGCAGTATAAGCAGGATGAAGGTTGCTGCTGGAGATGAAGCATCCCACTTCCCTGCATCTGCCAATGTGTCCCTGCCCACCCTTCCTTTTATCCTGTTGGCTGCACTTTCTCTTTTGGTTCTGGGCTCATGTGATTTCACAGAAAAGGGTTGACAGTAAACTGCATCATGAAACCCACCTCAGATACTTAAATGTACATGTAGTTTTTGTAACTAAGTCCAAATTAATCCATGAATAAATGCCACAAAGCAAATGTAATTTTTCATGTTCTCACCAGACTAACCTTCATACTTGCATGGGTTTAGAGCTTTTTTTTTTTTACTTTTCTGTTGCAAAAAGACCATTATCATTGACCTGTTATAAACCACCATAGCCCAGTTGCATATATTGGGAGAGAGCCTACCTTTTGTGTCTAACCTTTGGAATTCTATACTAATTGACTTGTGTATGTTCAGATGGTCCTCACATATCCCTTGATACTTTCTCATCTGGCAGTATGTTTAATTTCACTATTTGAGAATCATGGTAAAATGATTCAAGTGGGAATGAATGAAAACTGGTGCAGGAAAGGTGTGCCATATTTGCCCTTTACCCAAATCAAATCAGTATTTATGAAACAGCCCTTGTCCTACCAGTTACTCATGAGACTTTGCAAGTACTGTCATGGATGAGAGTAGGCCTGCCTACCAAGCACAAGCCCAGGGGTCCAAGAAGTCAATCATATGACTACAAAAAGCCACAAAATGAGAAAAATCAGATGCAAAACAATAGGACATAACATGACCAATAAGAGAAAAACACAAAACATCATAATGACTACAAAAATACAGTGGTGTGAAAAAGTGTTTGCCCCCTTACTGATTTCTTATCTTTTTGCATGTTTGTCACACTGTAATGTTTCAGATCGTCAAACAAATTTATTTATTAGTCAAAGATAACACAAGTAAACACATCATGCAGTTTTTAAGAGCTGAAAGTATGCTGAAGTAGAATTTTCCCATTCATTTGAATGGGGCAAGATTTTCAAAATAAAGCTAAATATTTCAAAAGTACAAAGTTCAGAAAACGTCTGAAGAGAAGCATGAATGTCCTTGAAGAGCTGAACATTTTAATAGCTGAAATTATGCTGAAGTAGGATTTTCAAAATAAAGCTAAATATTTCAAAAGTATGAAGTTTAGAAAACCTCTGAAGAGAAGCATGAATGTCCTTGAAGAGCTGAACATTTTCATAGCTGAAAGAGCTGAAAATATGATGTAGAATTTCCCCATTCATTTGAATGGGGCAAAACTTTCAAAATAAAGCTAAATATTTTTAAAGTATGAAGTTTACAAAACTTCTGAAGAGAAGCATGAATGTCTTTGAAGACCTGAAAATTTTGATAGCTGAAAGAGCTGAAAATATGCTGAAGTAGAATTTTCCCATTCATTTGAATGGGGCAAGATTTTCAAAATAAAGCTAAATATTTTAAAAGTATGAAGTTTAGTATACTTCTGAAGAGAAGCATGAATGTCCTTGAAGAGCTGAACATTTTGATAGCTGAAATAGCTAAAAGTAGGCTGAAGTAGGATTTTCACATTCATTTGAATGGGCAAAATTTTGCTGAAAGACACTAAATAGTTTAAAAAGTATAAAGGTTAGAAACAAGAAAAATAATAGCATAAATGTCCTTGAAAAGCTGAACATGAACGGTTTTCATAGCTGAAAGTAAAAAAATTATGTGCCAAAAAATGGATGGAAGAAACCAGAATAAAAATAATAATAAAGACCAGGATAACATAGTATGGATGCTGAATCAGCATCCATACAATAATAGTAATAATAAGAATAATAAAGACCAGGATAACATAGTATGGATGCTGAATCAGCATCCATACAATTATTGTTGTGGTTAAGAATTAAATCCCACAAAACACATGTATGAATAATTCATGTTTGATTTTTTCCTTTACTTTTTATAACAAAGCATACAACAGTAATGACAAAACAAAGAGCATAAAACATACATATAAATCCAAGAAAACCATTTAGTTCACTAACTGTAGGATAATATATATACTGTATGCAAGAACAGAGACTATATCATTCTGGGGGTGATGCATTACATAGAGCTTCACCTCCTTGCTGGGCAGCTTTATTTGGGCCTGTAGAAAATTTACTATCTTGTAGCACACGTAAAACTAGTTTGTGCCAGCAGTAAAAATTCTGGAAAAAAAGTCCCTTCCTCAAATATTCCCACAGTGTAGCTGGAAGTCAGAAGTGATGTTAAAGGGGAAAAAACAAACTTGGACGCCACATTCTACCAGTATGATATGAACACTGTGAAGAATGACTGAAGATATGTAGAGAATGACAAGGGAGTTGTAATATGAGGCAACTAAAACTTGGAAATGTCACTATTGATACATTATCTTTAGCAGTATCTGCTGTATCCATGGTAACCTAAATCACATCAGTTCAGGTTGGCAAATGTTCATGAGTGGTTCAATCCAGAGGCACCGTCTTCATCATCAGGTGGACAGGCAACAAAATCAGCCAACATAGTGGCCATGGCTTCATCATCCAGCTGAGGGACAAACAGAGAGACAACGTTTCAAACATGCTCTGTGAACTGTCATTAGAGATGTGTCTGAGGCTAATGGTGGCAAAATCTTTTCAGACTGGCGATTTATCAAGTGCTTCTACAACAACACTTTCAGGCCACTGTGTTTATTTTATATGCAACTATAGCAGGTTTCATATTCTGATGGCATGTTTTGGTTGAAGACAACCTAGGTGAGGTTAAAGTTGGGCTTAATATTTAATTAAAACATATTAATCAGTACCTCTTCACTGCTTTGGCTGATTTATGTACTGCATCAGGGCAGTCAGGCGAGGCTGTAGAACAGACGCTGCTTCGCTTGTCTGTGGTAAAGCTAACTTTGGTGCCTCACTTGACAGTGAGATTGCAGGCGAGTCCTCAGATGTGTTGTGTACTTGAGTAGGCATCTGCTTTTCTGCAGAGTTGGCAAACCGTTCACCTCGACACTGCTCTGGTGTCATTATTGTCTAATCAGCACAACTTTGCTCGCTACTATCCCACATTTTGTCCTTACAAACAATGTTACTAGTTTACTTTACTAAGACGTCAAAACAACTTATGAGTTGATAGTGAATTTTAAGAACGTCTTCTGTTGGACCACAAGGCAATTTACATCAAAAGGTCTTTTACACTTACTGACATAGCGTACATTGTTGGATTTCGAACAGGTCATTACAGTTAGAATTGGTTTGTTGATTTTTTTTTTTTTTACCACTTTCAAACGAATGTTCTGCCTCTTGTGCTTTCAAACGAATAAAAAGTGGCCACTGTTGGTATATGAATTCACACTGTCCACTCTGGAGGAGGATTAGCTGTCACTGCTGAAGCCCGAGCAGCATCGCCCTCTATGGCAGCTCAAATAAGCTAATACTTCCTATTAACAGCCTTGGTGAGGAATTCATGATTTGTCAAGGAAGGGTGGTGCTGCAATATAGAGAAACCAACGGCCCAAAAAGTCTCCCAGGCTGGCATTGAGGTGAGGACTGGAAGAAAGTGGAGGGCAAAGGAGGCAGATGACCAGGCAGAATCTCGGCTGTGCCACAGAATGCTGGTGGGATCTGTGGCAATTGGCCGAGCAAGACTAGACTGCAATCCAAAAATTCACATCAGTAAAGCTAAGGGCAAAGAAAGGCGGGGCCGAATCCTAAAGGAAGTGAGAGCCGAGGTCTAGGAGCTGCATGGTAAGCCAGATGGTGGGACTGCAGAAACAGGGAGCATGGTCCAGATGGGAACATGTGAAAGATTGGAAGATCTCATGGTCTGAGATGCTGAAGACAGAACCCAGTTTGCCAACATACTGTATGCATGAGGAAATCATTGAAATGTTTAAAAATAATGTTCCTCAAAGAAAGATGGGAAGAGACTTGGATCGGTCACCCTGTACAGTTCAGAACATACTTAAAAGATTTAAGGAATCTGGAGGGATTTCAGTGTGTAAAGGGCAAGGGTGCAAGCCTGAGCTGGATGACCATGCTCTCTGATCCCTCAGACGACACTGCATCAAGAATCGTTCCTCTTCTATAAGCGATATAACCACATAGACTCAGGATTACTTTGGCACACCTATGTCAGGCACTACAATACGTAGTTACATCCATAAATGCTGCTTAAAACTGTACCAAAAATAGGCCACTTAATCACTTGGTGTCCTCAGTCCCTAAACATCTTTTAAGTGTTGTGAAAAGGAACAGCAACATCACACCCTGGTAAATACTTTAGTGTCCAAACTTTTTTAGGAATGTGTTTCAGGCATCAGGACTGAAGTGAGTGTTTAATTTGAACAAAGAATAAAACTGATGAGGTATCGCATCAAATAATGTGCTGCTGTATTGTTTTGAATTTAATACAGGGCACAGATGATTTACAAATCACTATTTTCAGTTTTCATTTTGATTTTACACACCGTCCCAACTTTTTCTGATTTGGGGTTGTACACAGCAGTAGGAATTTTGTTTAAAACTACATATTCACACTTGTTGTGTATGTTCTTTTTAATCCAAAATACTAACATACCCACGACTTGTTTCTGTGTATTTTCCTTGGCCACTAGGTCAAGGCAAATTCTCTTAGAAAGCATTTTGTCACTTGCCCCTCTTATGCAACAGATAGAACTCCAGTCTATCAAACATGTTAGTCCACACTGAATCAGAGACATGCATGAGCACTGTGTCGCCCCTGGACCCTCTGTGTTTTACACTTCAAGTCTATTTCTTCTCTCTGGTGCATTTAAGGACAGAAAAACACCAAGCGATCGGCCTTCACTGGGCTGTCAGTGAGTGTCCGTCTGGGCTTGTCTTCCTGGTGTGTCCCACACCATTTGCACTAGTCGGCCTCCATTGGTGGCTTTTAGGCCAATTTTCATGTTGAACCAGCGTTAGTGGTTGGGCCTCGTCGGTGAGAGAGAGACCACTGGTTGGCTGCTGAGCTTAGCGAATCAGTGCAGGAGAAGAGAACTGTTTGGGAAAGCCCCCTCAGCCTGGCGCTGTAGTACCCATGATTTCACCCATTTAGTGCTGTTTCTCCTTGTTTTTCGCCTCCACAACCTCCTTTCTTCTTCACAATGAAAAGACCAAGGGCAGAGAACACCTGTGTCATTTGCAACGTCTTATCAGACATATTCTTGATTAGAAGCAGATATAAACAGCAGCTGCTTTGAATGAGAGGTGTTTTCGCTATAGCTTATACCTCTACATTCTAGCTCTTCTTCTATCCCTTTCTGAATGGTGAATACAGATACCGCCTACTGCTGGTAGGGGGAGTTATTTCTGTCACACAGGTGCAGAATGTACGTGCTAGTCGACTGCTGACTGTAGTGTGTGATTTGTGTTGGCCCAAGCAAAGCCGACGTGAGGCGATGCAGAGGTCAGCCTTCATGGCTGGTAGTTCTTTGATGTTGGCTTAGTGTGTCTCTGCCCTAACGAAGTGTCATCTCCACAGACTGTTTAGTCACTGTCCTGTTGACAGACAACTGTTCTTAACTACAGTGCCGGTGCACAGAGATGGTTTGAATGGATCAAACACTTGAATAGCTTATGTGCTTCTCAGGTCTCACTTTTCAAACTAGCTGGATTATAGGGTGTTTGATTGATGTATCGATCCAGATCTGTGAATTTGTTGCATGTGGCTTTAAGAGTTTTTCATTATTTCCTGAGTTTTCCCACTGTTACGTGCTTTTAATTGGTGTCCTGGCATCTGTGAGATAATTCCAAATATATTAGTGATTTTAAGATATTATTCAACATAATGATTAACATAAAATACTAATATGTGTAACGGTTTGGAAAATAGGTTTCTGAATAGTCCCCTGTACCTTCAATGAGTATGTCTTGCATGATCAATGGGATATGAATATGAAAACAAGTGAATCAGAATCAGCCATGAATTTTTACCTTTTTCTTCTCAGTGCTTTGTCCTGCTTTTTCCTCTATGGGTGCCTCCTCTCTCTTCCTCTTCACTCCTTTCCCCTCATCTCCATCACTCTCTCTTCCTCCTTCTCTCTCTGTCTCCTGCTGCTCTTCTTCCACTTTGTTGTTTTTCTCAGCATCTGTCTCCTCTTGCTCTGTCGTATTCAGAACGTTGAAGGTTTCAGAATCTGTAGCTGCTTCTTCTCGAACAACTGCTTGTTGCTCCTCGTGATGACTTGGTGGCTGATTATCACTCATATTGGCTTCCTTTTGAGGTTCAGCCTCAGGGTCCTATTGAGTTGAAGAGGGTTAGTTTAGGTGGAGGGCTCAGTTTCTTTATAACAATATAACAACACCAGCATGACTTATCAACTATTGGTTGAACAAAAACAATGATAATTGAGGAGGCCATAGAAATGATATATGAAGCAAGACAGAGATGTACCAATTGCAATTTTCTTGGCCATTCCGATTTCTTTTTAACCCTTGTGCCCTCCTTACATATACAATGCTCTTGATGCATTCATGGCAAAAATGTACACAAACAAAAATATGAGTATTAATTTTTCATATTTCAATATTTGCTCTTTTTTCATAAATCTATTAAACAACTTCAGACTTGCTCAAAACTACCAAACATTCAATCATTTTCAGGATTTTAACCCTTTAAATGCCAGTTATTAATTACAAAAAAAAAACTCTACCGAAAATGAATTATTTTCCATATAATAACTAGTAGGAGGATGGGGTTTTGGTGGTGAGTAGAGTCTTGGATATGTCAAAGACTTGCAACAAAATTGATTTGATTGCTTTAGTATTTTTTATATAGTGCCAGATACTCCCTGCTGACACATTCGTGGCCAAAAATGCCCCATTGACTTCCACTGTAACCACATTTTTTTAAATCTCACTCCCATTACAGTAGAAAACCATAAAACCATGCATTCATATAATGTTAGCATTTCATTTTGAAGAAAGGTAGTGATATTTGATATTTTTACCATATTTCACCAGATTCAACCTTTTCCCATTGTAGGCCAATACATTAAATTGTATTTTTGCCATATTACGGAACCGTGTGACTACCAGGGGGCCCCAAGAGTTTTGTGTGTGTGTGTGTGTGTGTGTGTGTCCTTTTCCTAACAAACAAAGCCCTTAATGACAAGGCTCCATCATATCTTAAAGACCTCTTAGAACTTTATCATCTCAACAGAGCACTTCGCTCTCACAGTGCAGGTTTACTTGTGGTTCTTAGAGTCCACAGAAGTAGAATGGGAGGCAGAGCCTTTAGCTATCAAGCTCCTCTCCTATGAAACCAGCTCCACGTCTCAGATCAGGAGACAGACACCCTCTCTACCTTTAAGATTAGACTTAAGACTTTCCTTTTTGATAAAGCTTATAGTTAGGGCTGGATCAGGTGACCCTGAGCCTTCCCTTAGTTATGCTGCTATAGGCCTAGGCTGCTGGGGGGCCCCATGATGTTCCACTTTTCTCTCCTCTCTTCCACTCCCTTTCCCTCCTCTCTTCTCTCTCTCTGTGCATCTATATGCCACCATTACACATCACTAACTGTGTGTCTCCTCTCTCCCATAGTGTGTCCTCTCTCTCTCTCTCCCTGTACCTTTCTGCAGGTTGCCCTGGCCCTGGAGCTCTATGTTTCTGATGAGCAGTCACCGGCCACATCAACCTGACCAGCGTTTGATTGTTTGTTGTGTCTTGTTGCTTTTCTTTCTTTTCTCTCTCCTCTATCCACTCAACCCAACCGGTCGAGGCAGATGGCCGCCCACCAAGAGCCGGGGTCTGTCGGAGGTTTCTTCTGTTAAAGGGAGTTTTTCCTCCCCAGTGTCACGAAGTGCTTGCTCAAGGGGGATTTGTTGGGTTTTCCTCTATAATAATAGTGATAATAGTAAGGTCTAGACCTTACCTTGTAAAGTGTCCTGAGCTGACTTGTGATTTAGCGCTATACAAATAAATTAGAATTGAACTTGAGCTGACTACTGTCTGGCTGCATGTAAAAGGACTCTGCTCCGTGTGGCCGTCTTCTTGCTCTCTTACTGAGCCCACAGGTCGCAACTTCTAGCAACAAGAACATTATTACCTACAAGTCATAAAGGCTCAAAGGGGAAGACCTGGCTTGTAACAACTATCGCAGCGCATTGAGTGCATGGGCAGGGTGCGTGCAAGTAGGAAGTTAGGTTGACAGACAGGTAGGCTGTCCAATGGTTTTGTTTGGGATCTGTAAAATGACTGGTCAGGCTTTTTTTAAGCCCTGCTGCTGCCACCGATGACAGATATTTTTCTTTATGTTGTCAGTACATTTAATGTATTAATTGCCATCAGGATGAAAAGAGAAATTCAAGATATGCAACACAAAATGCTTCTGAACAGAACCGCCAATCCTGCCTTTAACAGTGGTTTTGCATTTTCTTGCACATGGTGCATTTGTTGTGTTCATCAGGTTTCAATCAATAATGGAATGCGCTTAGGTCTCAAACTTGCAATACCCCATATTAAGGTTGATGAAAAAATGGAAACGACTGATGGAAGATGCTACATTATATCACATACAGTACAAGACAATGTGCTAGCTGAGTGTTCTCCAAAAAATTCTGACTGGGCTGCAAATTTTGTGAATGTTTTGATTCCATGTTAGTATGTTTTGCAGTTTTATTACATGGACTCACTTTCACAAAAACAAGTTACTGTGAGGTAATGCCAACTTAACGTTAAAATAAAGCATGATCAAAAAGTGTTTAAGACCTTCCAAAATTTGTATTCAAGACTTTTAAAGAATGGTGTATAATCTCCTGTAAAGCGCTTTGGCCAGTGTAACACACTGTGAGAAAGCGCTATATAAAATACAGTCCATTTACCATTTATTTAAGGAGTAGATTTCAGATTATTGAATTTTATACATTAAGACTTTTAAGGAAAGCCCTGTTCTTCCTTTTACCCTTCTTGTATGTCAGACTACTTTGACACTAAAGTCATCAGTATGCTTCAGAGGGTAGATGTTAAAAGTGTGGAAACTACCTGTTGATTGCGAGTGAATATGGATTCGTCTGAAGAGGCTGTCAACTCCATCTCATTGGTTCCTTGCTCCCATGAGCTCACCTCCTCCTGCACTACTCCTGCTCTAGCTTCTACCACCTCCTCCTCAGTCTCCTCTCTCTGCTCCAGTGCTCCTCCAGTGACACATAGGATCTGTGGCATCGTGGGGTCATCCATCCTTTCGCTTTCATCCTCTTCTCCCTGCCCCTCTTGTGCTTCCTCTAGGACTCCAATGCTCTCCACTTCCTGCACCGTCATCCTGTCCTCTCTGAACAGCTCTCTGTTGGTCTGGATCTCTTCAATCCCTCCTTCTGTCTCTCCTTCCACATTGAATCCAACCATCCCTCTTTCATCCACTGCTGCCTGGAGCACCTTCCCATCCTCTGTTCCTGCCTCTCCTGCCTTGTCCTCTGCTCCCTCAAGAGGAGGTATGTCACCATCCTCCTCCTCTTCCTCCTCCTCTTCTTCCTCCAGCTCTTCTCCCTCTTCTTCATCATATTCCTCATACTCCTCTCCATCATAAAACTCTTCATCAGCAAAATCGCTCACTTCCTCCTCCTCATCCTCCTCATCCATCCCTTCCTCCTCTTCCTCCAGCTCTTCATCATCCTCCATATCATCCTCCTCTTCCTCCTCCTCATCTGTGCTATTGATGTTGATGATGGCTGAATCTTCGTTGCTGGCAGGTGGTGGTTGGTGCTGGTGGAGGTGTCGTCCCTGCTGATTCTGCAGCTGGTGCATCTGGAGTGGCAGACCCATGGAGCTGGGCTGGCCTGTTGTGGAAGACTGCATCAGCATTTGCTGGAGCTGGGGTCTGCCAGGCAGTGAGTCCCCCAGACTGCCAGGTGTAACTGTGAGTGTGCTGGAGTTTAAAGGTGGGACCAGGGAGACCACTGAGGTGCTGGAAGGAGGGAAGGAGTTGATGGGAGTAGCGGAAGTGGTGAGAAGGGGGGCGGAAGTAACGAGGTTGTTGGAAAGGGAGACCCCATCTATTGTGGTTGTTGCTGCTGTGGTGGGCACTGTGGAAACAGATTCTCCTCCTTGTAGTGTGACTGTAGTGCCTCCTGGTACAACAGAGGCCATGGTCTGGGAGTTTGCTGAGGCTGCTGTGTCATCCTGCTGGTTTTCTATGTTGAGCATCCCTGGAGGAACAATAACCACGCTGTCATCTGAGTCACTGGCCAGAGAGATCTCCACATCCTCTGCTTCCTCTTTCTCATAGCGGACAAACACAGGTCTCTGTCCTTCTGGAGGACCAAGCCCAGTCGGGTCAGGCTGGTGGTGTGTGTGCGGGGACAGAATCATGTCTCCTGGGGTAGGGGCCTGACCTGGCAGACCAGGAACCAGGGAGAGGTGGTTCTCCAAAGAACCCAGCAGGGAAGTGGAACCCAGGCCAAGGGAGTGGCGAGTGGGGAAGGGTGGACCAGAGGCAGGGCCTCCTAGGAGGGTTGGTAAAGTGAGTCCAGGTGTAGGCCCCTGGGAGGAAGGGAGGGCTGGAGCGGTGGGGGTGGGTTTCAGGGTAAGGGGTGGTAAAGGGAGGGCGATGGAGGGAGTACGGGGGTGGAGTAGGGAGTTACAGATTGTCAGAGCCTCAGTACAGAATGTAGAGACCTGTGGAGGACAGAATCCCATTAGAATCTGTGACATGACTTGTACATATTTAAACATAATATGCAACTCTGGGGGTGTTACACATTTAGTCCATGGCTGCAAAAAGTGCAGCTGTGCTCAAGGAATCTTCTGTTTTTATGCCTTTGCGCTGATGATGGCAGGAGGCATTATGTTTTTTGGTTGTCTGTACAATTCTTGTGAATGCAATATGTCAAGAATGCCTTAAAAGAATTTCTTAAATTTGGTACAAGAGTCCACTTGGACTCCAGGATGAACTAATTAGATTTTGCTGGTCAGAGGTCAAAGTTCAAGGACATTATGACCTTGCATTCATTCACTTCTTGTGAATGCAATATATCAGGAACACCTTGAGGGAATTTCTTCAAATTTGTTTCACCTGGACTAAAAAATGAACTGATTAGATTTTGGTGGTCAAAGGTCAGTGACCTCACTTCTGTCCCTGAAGTTTATAAATTATTTGAATGGGGCCAAAATACATTTCGGATTTCCCTGAAGAACACAAACCCATCAAAGCTTTCAGATCCTTAGGAAGCAGTCAGCCAGTAGAACCTCAAGTCAGAACCAAAAAGGATGAAGCTGCTTTTAGCTACTATGCTGCATGTAGATGGAGCCAACTTCCTGATGACCTTACATGAGCCTCAACTCTGCCCCTTTCAAGTCTCAACTGAAACTGTTTTTCTTGTGCCATTTTGACTGGTTTCTGTACTGCACGTTCTGTACTTTCTGATTTTTGTTTCAGACCTTTCATTTTGTCTTTTCTTTTCATTTTTTCATTTTATCAATGGTTTATTTTCACTTTGTCTTAACCGATTTTATTCTTTGTTTTAATGTTACTTCTTTTTAATGGTGTTGCTGTTTTTCCTTGTCTCTGTACAGCACTTTGAACTGCCTCTGTGTATGAAATATGCAATAGAAATAAAGGGTTTATTGTCTTGCCTTAAGGGGATTTCTTCAGATTTGGCACAAATGTCCACTTGGATTGAATGATTTCACTAGTGAGAGCTAACTGGAAATTTAGCATGATGGAGAAGTACTGTTAATATGCATGACAAAAACAGCACTATGTGATAAAACCCTGCTTTATCACTTTAAAAGACCTGCTGTGATGGTTCAGTAGGTGTGCCAACACAAAGCAAAAACAATGTCATCTGGGAAAAGTTCTGTCTCAATTTATAGCAGAACTTAGGGACCCCAGTAGCCCAGTGGTTAAAGCATGCAACACATTTGCCTATTTCACTGCGAGAGACGTTTGTTACATGTCATACCCCTCTCTCTCTTTGTCTACACTGTTAAATTGTCAAAATCAAAAACTACAAGTGTAAAGTCAAATGTCTCAACAAACAATTGTTGCTGTGATCATTTCATAAGTTGTAAAATTTCACAAATCTTGTCTAATAGTATCATTTTATTGTCTAATAAACTCTCCAACTCGTGGGTCTGTTGCTCAAACTGACCAACAGGCCACAGAGTGCTCTCTGGCTCTCTGAGAGAGGTCACCTTGAGGTTGCCGTCAGTGAGGCCACTGCTGAGGATGGACACTGCACAGGTCAGAGGTGGGGGCCAACAGGGTGATGGGACCAGGACCAGAGCCAGCAATAACCTAAAAATCACACAAAAAAAACAAGGCAATCTTCATTTTCTCATCTTTGTTAGACCATACAATACCAGTCCAAGTTTTGGACACACTTACTGTACCTATTTAATTCAAAAAGAAAGTCTATCCAGACTTTTTGATTTGTTTTGTTAAAGTCAAACTAAATATTAATGAACATTTGGTGAACAGATGTGTAGAAAAATAAAATCATTCAGAAGAAAGGGTTAAATTCCAGCATAGTAACTGAATTCATAAATAAAAAAACAATAAAAAAACAATATTAAGAAAGATGTCTTGAAGGCAGTGTATGTTGCTCCAACATCTCTGTGTATTTTTCAGCATTAATGGAGCCGTCACAGAAGTGTAAGTTAACTTTGCCAAGGGCACTGACACAACCCCCGACCATGACAGACCCTGGCTTTTGGACTTGTTGCTGGTAACAGTCTGGATGGTCCTACTATTATCACTATTAGTATAGAGGAAAACCCAACAAATCCCCCTTGAGCAGCACTCGCCGACAGTAGGGGAGGAAAAACTCCCTTTAACAGAAGAAACCTCCGACAGACCCCGGCTCTTGACCGGTTGGTGTGAGTGGATAGAGGAGAGAGAAGAGAAAAGAAAAGCAACAAGACACAACAAACAAACACTGGGCAGGTTGATGTGGCCGGTGACTGCTCATCAGAAACATACAGCTCCAGAGCCAGGGCTACCTGTAGAAA